GTGTGTGTGTGTGTGTGTGTGTGTGTGTGATCTTTAGAGTTTTCTATGTAAAATATCATGTCATGTGTGAACAGAGATCATCTTATTTCTTCCCAATTTGGATGCTTTTTATTTTATTTTTTTTTACCTAATTGCTCTAATATGAACTTGCAGTATTTATGTTGAATAGAAGTGACAAACATAAGCACCCTGTCCTGTTCCTGATCTTAAAGGAAAACTTGCAGTCTTAAATATGATGTTGGCTATGGGTTTTTCATAAATGGCTTTTATTATGTTGAAGAGTCTTTCTATTCCTGACCAACTTCTAAATTGTTTTAAAGTCCTCCTCTATCTTTTAATTTTAAGTAGACTCATGTTGAATTCAGGCTAATTTTGAGGATGCGGTGGTGATAAATTTGCTTGCCATACTGCAGAATCTTGTCACAGGAAATACCAATGTACAGGAAGAAGATTGTTGGTGACATCAAATATAAATTTATAACTTATGATATTTTCATTAAGAAACATTAATATATAAGGAAAATGAAATTATTAGCAGTTTCGTACAAAAGCAAAAAATAAAAACCAGTGAATTTATGGATCTTTAAGGTTTAGTCTTTCTTCTTTTTTTCCATTTTGCCCCCCAGGCTATCCTGAGCCCAATGAATCAGCATTATTTGAAGAACTGGAGGAATTAGGTATTATTTTGGCTATTAATTACTCTTCCTTATGAAACGTTGGAGTACTATATAGAAATAGCTATCATGTTCCAATTATTTGTAGTTAAGGAAGGAACCAAGTTTCACAAAATTTGACATTGATAGTGATTTTAGTAGTCCAGATAACATGATAAACATAAGTGGTACTTATGTGTAGACACACGTAGGTAATTTCCTTCCATCTAGGGAATTCTAAGTGCCCAATAAGCTTTACTAAATAACCTGGTGTAGTAGCCACAACACAAAACAATGAAAAGCAATTCCAATTAAGAGTTTCACAAGATGGCCCCTGGATGTGGGATCAGAGTCCAAGGGCTCTGTGATCGGAATGATCTGGACACACTAGCAGTCATGCTAAAACTACACTGAGGAACTCTTTCTTTGCTGTCGTGTATAGATACAGTGTATGATCTGAGCAAGATTAAATGCGACTACTCTCTGGGACCCTTGTGCGCTCAATTATCTTCAAACTGTTTTCATGTTTTCCCAGATGCAGGTATCATTGCTGTGATTATTCTTACTATCCGTAAGTAGCCCAAACTTCAATGCCACTTAAATCAAAATAGTATTGCGAGGAAGTGCATTATTTTTTTTAAGTGACTTTTCAGTTTCTGTGGTTTTTATAGCTTGAAATGAAGTACAGCAGTCTAGAACAGTCTGACCTTGTATATGATACTACACGTTTTGCTGGTGAATGTATATTCTTTTATATTCCACTTGTCCACTTAGTAACAAACCTAAATACTCCATGTGTTTTCAGGATGATTAGTCATGACTCTGCGTCCCAAATATGCTTTGGGTACTTTTCTAAACTAAGCAAGGATTCTTCCCTGACTTACTGTGGACTGTTCACGAACTTCTGATAGTGAAGAGTCTAGATGGAATATGAATATATATGGGCTTAAATGAAGTAACATTTTCTGACCACTGAAATGTAACCAACACTTACTTATTTCTGCTGCTACATTTTGAATCTTGGCAATTAGCTCTCAGTTACATGTCGTTTGTTTCCTGGTTTCTTGTAGTTGTCGGCCTTGCAGTACTTTGCACCTGCCTGTACAGATGTCTTCAAAGAAAGAAAGGGTAAATTAAAGGACATTTCTTCTAACTTCCGGTCCTTCTCACTCCTCACCTACGTGCGTGCAGCATTTGCACCTGTGCCTATGCCATCTTTCCCTAAGCTGAGCCTGCATCAGTGTGCCCTGCCAGTCGCATCTGTTTACTAACACTATTTTAGGCTGCTTTTCCTGTCCCGGCGGCCAGAGCTACCTGCGCAGACTTGCTTCGTCTGTTAGGACTTCACGAAAAATTTCTGTGGGGTGGGACTTGAGGTTTAAGTTCTATAGCAAATCACGGAGCGTTAAGGGGCCTTCCCCACCCAGCTTTCCCCTGTTTCCTAAATTGGACCAGGGGCCAAGATGAAACTTAGACCAGTTCACTGTGGAGACTCGGACAGTTGTATTCAGTGGAGTTTTTATGTGAAAGTTTCCATTTGTCCGGGTAAGTTAGGGAATTGTAAGAAGCTGTGCAGGTGTCTCTTTCGAATACCCAGTTTGATTTCTTTTCCTTTAGAGCTGTTACTTACACTTGTTAAACCGGGGAGTGAAAAGCAGCAGTGTTTGATTTCCCTCTTTTGTTCTCTCAGTTTACTAGGTTGCAGTAAAACTGTTGGGGATAAGCTTAACATTACTGAGGGGTAAGATTTACAAGGCACCTCATTACCCTTATTTTTGTTTTCATCTATAAAAATGAAAAATGTGGGGGAGGGACTTATAATAGAAAAAAAAAGTGTACAAGTACGTATCTTCTAGGGAGAATAGGGTTTTTAAACATCAAACTTAAATTTTAATGAAATACTTTTCAATTTAGTGAAAGACTTAGAATAAATCCTGGAGCATAGACTAAGATTAGGTACTTTGAAATTTGATTTTTATTGATTTTCAATAATTTTCTTTCCTTGTAGTTTTGGAAATGACTTTCACAGCAAACCTAATAATTTTAAGACTTTTGGTATTCATGGGTTTATGATATATTTTGCCTTTATACTAGTCATCTGGTTTAGGGCATGTAATAAAAATACACTCTCTACACATAACGAGCTCAAACTCTTTTATGCTATTGGTTATCTTTTTTAAATCACAATGCCTCCACTTGAATCTTCAATCTTATATTTGTAGGACACTTGATATGCATATTTGATTTGTCAATCAGTAGCATACATTTTTTAAATTACACATACACATAGCGTGAGTTGGAAATATTGTCAGTAGAATATTCTTACAAGTCTCAAAAAGTTTTGTGGCGAAAGCAAGACAAGATAGCTTTTTGCTCCTCACTTTCCTTTTTTGTTTAAATTCTCTGCATCAAAATGCTGGTTCCTTCAAAGTATTAATCGAAATCTCTTTAGCTACCAAGTAATGGGTCTTGTAAGCTGAGCCTCTGGTTCAAGATGGCAACGTGAGAGGATCCCCGGAACTCACCTCCTGTCCGACACACGACGTCTATAGCCACGTTCAGAACAGTTTCTCTCTGAAGGAGATCTGAAAACTAAATCTACGTTGGGTGGATACAAAACCACATCAAGGGGTGCCTGGCTGGCTCAGTCAGCGGAGCATGTGACTCTTGGTCTCAGGGTCATGAGTTCAAGCCCCACATTGGGTGTGGAGCCTACTTGAAAAAGAAAAAGAAGACAAACAAACAAACCCACATCAAAAATGAGTAGGACATAGTGTCTCACCATAAACTCCTCCCCCAGTGTGGCAACCCACAGTTAGATGGAAGCTCACAACTCTGAGCTTCTTCCTGGGAAGCCAAATGTTTGAACCCCACGTCTGGCACCCCAGCTTTTAAGACCTGCACCCCAGAGATGGGTCCACAAAACATCTGGCTCTGAAAGCCAGTGGGGCCTAGGTCCACAAGCCTACAGCCAACCGAGAAACAGTTCTTAAAGTGCTCATGTGGTTTTCTTTGGCCAACCCTCCAGGGTACAGCACAGACACAGCAGTCTGAAATGCACCCCCAGTCTTTCTGGGAGAGAGGCCTATTAGCTTATCTGTGTAGCTGAGGCCTGAGGTGACAGACCCAAGTCTGGCCGCAGTCCTCTCCACAGACCTTGGAGGGCCGGAGCGACCTTTCACGCTCCCTCTGCCGTGCTCCACATCGCCAGTACCTCCCGAAAAGGAGCTCGTGCATCTGTCTGGTGGCCCTCAGGGCTTATGTTGGCAGGTCACGTAGGACTGAAATAAATGGAGGAACAGTTGTTAACTGGCCACCCTACCCAGGACACAGCACAGAGGTGGCCAACTGAAATCATCCCGGTCTTTCTGTGACTCGCCTTTTAGCTTATCTGCATAGCTATGGCCTGAGGAACGGGCTTCTCATTAAACACATGTCGGTGAGCCCAAGGCAATCCCCCCGGCCCGAAACTGGGGAGACTGGTGGGCAGGCACCATCCTTGAACTCGCCTATCCTGCCCCAGATTGTCAGTGTCTCTGAGAAAGGACCTCATATACACGTCTGGCACCACAGCTTTTGTGGCTGCAACTCACACGTCCCTTGATAACCAGGCCCTGCTGGTCAGCAGTACAGTAACAAGTAAAGAGACAGTTCTTTTTTTTATGTTTATCTTTGAGAGAGATGGAGAGACAAAGCATGAGCAGAGAAGGGGCAGAGAGGGAGACACAGAATCTGAAGCAGGCTCCAGGCTCCGAGCTGTCAGCACAGAGCTTAACGTGGGGTTCAAATTCACGAATCTTGAGATCATAACCTGAACCGAAGTCTGACGCTTAACCTACTGAGCCACCCAGGCACCCCGACATGTGAAATTATTTTGAAAAGAATCATTTATTTCCTAGATCAGGGTCTCTTGCTACTACAAATCTATGTTCTTAGTTGTCCATTTTCCTACTAGGCCTCTGGATTTAATTCCTGTACTAAATGATGCTATCTGCATACCTTGCCTTTTAGTGAAACAGAGGTTAGGGGTGAATATACCACTTACTGGAATAGATCAACCACTGAGGCAGAGCAGATGTACCAAGTGGTTTCTACGAATGAGGACATCACTTTATCTTTCGATACAATTAAAATCTTAAGATCTACAGAAGCTGTTCTCTAGTGCTTGTACTCTCACGATGCAACCATTAAGCCATAAGGCTGACATTTCAATGTGGTTTGAGTGTAATCACCACCCTTTGATGCTGCTTTGAATGGTGTATGCATTTGGGTATGAACATCTGGCCTGTTTTCCCTTAAATAACACTTGTATTTATAAGGCAACTCTGTACAATACCCCTGGGAGTATTTAGATGGGGAAACAATTTTTAAACTAAATCTCCATATCTAGGGAACTATCGTCCAAAATAAATTACATTGCATTTGTAAAGAAAGTTATTTTAGGGGCGCCTGGGTGGCTCAGTCGGTTAAGCGGCCGACATCGGCTCAGGTCACGATCTCGCGGTCCGTGAGTTCGAGCCCCGCGTCGGGCTCTGTGCTGACAGCTCAGAGCCTGGAGCCTGTTTCAGATTCTGTGTCTCCCTCTGTCTGACCCTCCCCTGTTCGTGCTCTGTCTCTCCCTGTCTCAAAAATAAATAAATGTTAAAAAAAATAAAAGTTATTTTAAAGTCTCTTTTGTTCACAGAGTAATGCCAAGTCTTAAGATTCATTCTTTCAACAACTCTAAAATGTGTTTTATATATGGTTGGGTGTTAAATGCATTTACAAATATATATATTCTACCTCAGCCCTTAAACATTAGAAACAAGAACACTGAAAACTGGGAATGTGAACAAGTTTGACTTCCTGAACTAAGAATATTATTGAGAAATACTCAAAGTAAATAGGGTAGAATTCTATATACTTTCTAGCTATTTATAATATCTTGGTGACCGAAGGAAGCTATAAAGTTTATGGCCTTTGTTCTTCACTTTTTCAAACAACAATAACAGTGAGAAATCAGTTAGGAATTCAGAATCAGTCAGAAACTTCTGTACGTTAGAGAGCTCTCACACTCGTAGCAGTGCTGGGCGGGGGCACAGAGTGAACCTGTGGCCTGTAGTCTTCTCGAAGAGGATTTCGCTCTTTAAGAAAGTTAGATTCCACTCTAAATTCCAGCAATGGGTGATTTTCTCCCCGTACTTGAATAAGGACAGGTCTTCCTTTAAACAATGTCATATAAGAGTAGTGAGTTTGGCAGGAACATCTCCATCCAATAACCTCAGGTTGTATCAGAATCTTAGTTGTTTTTGTTTTTGTTTTTTTACTGTTACTTACTTTTGAGAGAGAGAGAGAGAGAGAGAGAATGAACTGGGAAGGGGCAGAGAGAGGGGGACAAAGAATCCAAAATAGGCTCCTTGCTGAAAGCAGAGAGGCTGACACAGGGCTTGAACCCACAAACCGCAAGATCGTGACCTGAGCTTAACGGACACGCAGGTGCCCCGGAATCTTAGTTTTTATGTGCATCTTACCATATCTGCTAAACGCACAGTAAAAATTAAGCCATGCATTTCAGGAAAGGAAACAGTATCTGCTGTCGGTGGAACAAAGGAACCAAAAAAAGCAAACAGCTGTGCTAGCACCGGATGCTGGGGTGGAACAGACCGTGACCTCGCTGAGTCCTCACATCAGGCAGGGTCTCTTTCAAACAAACCAGTGGGCAGAGAGAAGGGACGGCTACTCACATTCAGAGTACGGTTTTGCAAATTTTGTTTTGCACTTTTATAGTTAGTAGCATAAGTTAGGCCAAAGAAACGCTGCCTTGAGAAGGACGTGATTGGGAATCGTGCTTTACAGGTATTGTTTTACGGACAAAGCATGTTTATGATGCACTGTAAGTGTCCCCTCCCTGAGGGATCGGTGAGGTA